TGACCATGGTTCAAGTCCTGGACCTGGCGACTTGAAGATCATGCCAGGCGTGTGTGTGTGCATGCCCAAAATCCCAAGAGGAGGCTGGAGGAGAAGGAATTGTAGCATGGCCATTGCCCTGGGGGGGTGATTTCTAGCTTTCCCTCTCTCTAGCTAGAGCACTCAGCCTATGGCAAAAAGACTAAAGAAAAATTTTTTTTTCTTTCTTATATTAGCACAATATCAATATGTATTTTATATTTTCTTTATTGAGCTTGTCCAACCTGCAGTGATTTTTTAAGCCTGGTACAAGGAATAATGGATTTACAAGAGCTTTTGGCCAAGATGACTGCAAAAGTAGGTATCTAAATTTCACTTGTGATGTTTCATTTCTTTTTCTGTCCTATCTGGAATTTAGAGTGATATGCTGTAATGGAAACATTTTTAGCCTTGGCATCTGCAATATGTTACTACAAAAATGGTTTATTTTTACTTGAAATAGGACTACCTACAGTAAACATAACCATTCACAATCTCTGATACCATTAGGCTGTACTGAAATGTTTACTTGAAAAACGTTTGGAAGTAAGAGACCGGGTGTATCACTGTAGATTCCCTGGGAGTGAAAAAGGGATTTGCCCATTGTCTCTTCAGCTGGTAACCCTGTGAGATGAAAGATGGTCAGAGCCGTTGTTGCTTATAAGCTAATGTATTTTGGATGTGAGAGTAATTGCCAATAATTGGGAAAGGTAAAATAGCTATTGTTAGGCAGAGATCACTGTCACAGGAAGGCCTTAGATCACGTTCCTAATGTATGAGGCCTTTTAGCGCAGATCCTATCTTTATCTCCCTGGACCTCAATCTTCTTATCTGTACGGTGAAGAGACAAAGTCTGCCTTTCAATACTCAGTTTTATAAAATTCTGCATTGTTTCCACTCTCCATCGTCCACTTTGTCAGCATCTTTTGAGAACCTGCTATTTGCCAGACACTGCATTGAGTATAAAGAGGTGATGATGAACAAGACGTGATTTCTATCTCAGATATGTTCATATACAGTAGCAGAGCAAGAAATATAAACGATTAGGAGCTTTAATATATATTTATAAAGTGCAGACTCACAAGGAAAAGCCCAGAGCTTTCTAGAAAAAGGTCCTGACAAAATTTAAAAGAATGTGGCTCGTGCTATGTTGTGATACCAACCAGTCTTGGGCCTGAGTTCTGGCCTAGGGCGAAGAAAGAATTAGGTTGGGCCTAAGAGACATTATAGTTAGCGAAAGAAAAATTTTAATAACAGTGAAAACGATACATTAATCTGATTCTACCTGTGGCTACGACTGCTTCCTG